TTTAATCTTTAGCGCAAGGATTATGAACCTTGTGTTTGGGTATGATTTATTTATAACGCGATTTCCCGGTTTTATTTTTGATCTCAACTATTTGTATTAATAAAATATATCATAATTTAGAGCAAGTTAAGGGGGTATCAAAATCGCATAACTTGGCTCGAATTTCTGTGATCGGACGGAGTCGAATGAAAAACTATTTTTAATTATTGATATACAACTGTTTTGATCTCCAATGTCTCTCGCTATTAAACATAGAGTGGGACTTAGAAGCAATAAAAGATTGACGAAAACTAATCCAGACGGTCCCGAATCAGGTTGGGCTTTTCTTTTGCTTGTTTTTCCAAGTGACAAGTTTTTAAACATAATTGAGGCGTGTTTGGTGTTGTACAATCTGGCACTAATTAATGTACGAATTTTTGGAAATTTGGGTGACTATTTAATCCTGTAATGAAGTTGATAATATGAGAGCTTCGTGTTTTTACAAGGAAATGACAAGTAAATTAATTTACATTCTATAAGTGGCTTTCGTAATTTCCAGATACAACCAGCACGCTTCGTATCCAAAAAAAATTGCTCTTTTTTCCCGAGAAAGCTGCCAAATCGCTCTACTTTACTGTGAATGATGGGCACGTAATCAGTATGTAAATAAATAAATGTTAAGGATGGTTTGCGGAAAGTGCTTTTCGGCAAGGAAGAGCCATTTATACAGTTCTTTTTAAAAAGAACATCTGTTGGTGGAAATTTGTACTAAATAAGTAAAAAAGAAAGAGCATTCGATCTTGTGTGTATATGAGTGTTATGAATATCAAAATAAATGTCAACGAACATCGGTTAAGATTATTTATGACTAAAATAAAAGGCTAATAACCTCTCCAAAATCTGACTAAATTTACAGGGTGACCGTTCTTCGAACTTGATAATAGCCAAGTTGGCTTAGGACAATATCATACGGGACGCGGACGGTTTCTGGAAAAATGTTTCTTTTTTATTTCGAAAACCTTATCCTGGATAGCGTCATTCTTTTGATATGAACTACCTATTGGTTAAATTTTGAAAATACTCATGTGATAACGAAATAAGTTGCAAGGTAAAAGGTAGTCGACTTTGTTAAGACTTAATGTTAATTTTATTAAAAAAAAAATACAATTTAGCCAAAAAAACATTCAATTATAGCCATTATATGTAAATGAAAGTCCGTTTCAGATCATAAAGTATATTGTACATGCATTTTGCATTAAAAAAATAGGAGTTTTTTCGCAAAATCCTTAAAACTGGGTCTTCAAAGATACAAAAAGGTCATGCATCAATACTAAACATAATCCAAAAATCAAACGAAAGTTTGGTATGTAAATTTTCATTAGTTTTTAACATAATTAGGAGAAAAGTATGTACATCTAGCAGAGATCATATAATTATAATTATAAGCATCGGTGAATAAATCTTAAATAAATATTGTAGCGAATATGCCAAATATCGGGGCGCCATCAAGTCGATACAAGATTAGTCACCGGCTATAAGGAATATAGTTGACATTGTCTTCAATACCAATACTTCAATATGACAATGAACGGTATGGTGTACCATTTTGTTGGGTACCATCTTGGATCGGCCCGCCATTTTATGGTTACTACTTTAAATTTGACACCCATTTTATTAATGACTCCATCATTTTGTTGGACGCCATTTTAGACACGTTGTCTGTCTGTCTGCCTGTCTCGTGCTATCGGTCATCTTAGACCCGCTGTCTGTCCGTCTGCGTTTCTCGCTCTATCGGCCAACTTGGGATATTATTTTGGACCCGATATCTTGGATCGCGTCATCGGTTACGTGATTGCTATAGAAATTCTTTTTATTCGCGTAGGGATTCGAACCCGCGATACCTGAAATAGAAAGCTAGCGCGTAACCAGTTCAGCTATGGAGGCTTTGAACGATGTGATAGTTAGAAATTGCAGTCAATGGAAGAACAGGCGGAGAGACAAACCTGGGCTCCCCCATTTCGGAGAGGGGCGTTCCCGTCTCTGATTGGCGTCACGTTTGTATATGTGATCGATGTGATTGGAGTAAGTCAAATAGATTTCTATTGATTTGGTGTGGTTGCGAAAACTTGACTCCAGCTTTGTTTGCAGAAAACAACGGAGTTACCTTTGGATTTCAGGTCGCAACCTTGTGAGCTCAAAAGGGCGCGTTCTGCCTAATCTGTAACAGACCACAACACAAACAAAAAAATGAGAGGGGTAGTGAATAGGGCGGACCATAAAATATTGCGAAAACAATTCCAACTTCTGATATTGGGCAAATCGGATACTAAACCGTAATTAATAATCAATAATTCAACTTACGTGATCTAATCAAAAACAACATTCTGACTCGACCACGAATTGCTCGTACAATCGGATATAAAAGCGTAAATGTGACAACTTCCAGAAAACTACTTTACGATGCACAAAAAACTAAATTTCTATACAACAGTTTAGTTAAAACTTGCAATGCAATCTAATTAATTCAAAATAGAAATAAGGTAATATGATCAAATTCTTCGGATGAAAACAAGGAACGCAACTAAAAATTGTAGATATCCCTCTCGGTAGCTTCAAAAATGTAGTTAAGCTAATACATAGTCTTCGGAGTAATCGTAGATAATGTAGTTAAAATAGGGTCTTGAAAAGTATATTGTTCGGCAACGACAGAAGTAGCGTAAGTAAAATGAGATATATCGGAGCAATTTACAAGATCCTTGATCTCCAAACGTTTAGTTCAAACTTGCGGTTAGGAACTATATTGTAATCTCGAGGTATAAACAACTTCGAAGTAGTTGGTAGAATGAAGTAAATTCACCAAGTTAATGTAGGTATAATGAAGTAGAATTTTCCAAGCCGGTAATATAGAAATCCACGTTCGCCAATATCAATGTTGCTAAAATGGCGGGTCCAGATAAAAATGCAATGTCATTCACATACTGCGTGGGTAGAGACAACGTAAAAGATAATCCAAAAGAAAAAAACGATGAGGAGAAAACTATAATCAAAGTTTGAAGTTGAGAGAAGATAAATCCGTCGTATTATGTGCAGATACAAATTCGTAAAACGCTTCAATGGATCACAGCCTCAAAAGTGAAAAAGAAAGAGAGAAACTACTCCAAAGATATATGGTGACAGCCAATATCAAAAGCCCTTATATATGACGGCAGGATCTTCACTGCGCGAGAAACACAACTCATGGGCAAGATAAACTTAACGAAGGGATGGGATTAGAAATATCACGGAAAACGTCTGAACGACCTCCGGCGGTGAATCAAACAACTATTGTAATAAGAAAGCTATAACATTTGGATGGCCTCTAGTGGCAAAAATAAGGAACTAGGTAAAACAACTCTACTACAAGAATAATTTAGATCTGGGCTCGATTAAACACATAGCTAATTATTCACAAATGAAACAAATTTATTCGATCACTAAAGCTGTAAGAAATAAGAGCACTCAGGGTCTATAGGCATGTACACGCACATGCGATCGATTGAAACAAATAAAGTTTTAATTACCTTAAAGTTAATAATCCTTAACATCCGGTTTATAACTGCGATTTTCTTTAACTGGCGCACAAAAAAAAAACACAAAACACTAACTGATATTGATTAGGGATCTTCCCTTTTTTACTTCACTTTATTCTTGATGTCCAGATGTCCCTAATATTGGTTTAGAATAATGTCACTGAACATTAAGCAAAATCAAACATCAATTCTAAAACAAATCAACATAGACCTCGAATTCAAATACTATACTCGATACGATAATAGTGCAAGAGACCAGAAAGCTAAACAGAGGAACAGAGAGTTCAAATTTCATGCCGAAATTCATACAAGGTGCTTAAAAAAAGTTCTGAAAGATAAAATTGTAATCGATTCAAGAATATACTGCGACCAAGTGTTTTGATGTAGAGATTCTAAAAAATAATTGATGTATCAAATTTGAAAAATTATCACGGAACATGAGAGAGAAGTCGCAAAAAAATTGAAACTTTGTAACCCTATATAACGAAAACGATGCATTTTTTACTACTATTACCCCTGCATGAAATTAATTGACACCCTAATAGGTACTTACTTTATTTGTCAATAAATAAACTCATAAAAGCAATTCGATTGTTAAACGATTTTGCATTCTCGCTTGTGTTGCTCGATTCATGGTTTATACTTTTATAGGTGTCATTGATTCAATTTCTAGAACTTTGAACTGGACAGGAACTAGGAAGTAACTAACCCTTACTGAAGAGATACTTTGGCGTTAAGCATTCGGGAGGTTGAAGAATTATAATTCTAGATGAAAGTGGTGAAATGAGTCGTCATTCCAATATTATAGTTCACAGAAATTGTTTAATGAAGGCCAGAGAAATTTACAGATGTTTGTGGTTGAAACTGGGATTGTGTATTGTATGGAGCATTTGCATTTTTCGCAGTAAACAATGAATCATTACGTTTCCAACAGAATTGTATTGTGTATGCAAATGATTTCTGTTTAATAGTCGAGTGAAACTTAGTGTAAGCGTGCATAAGGCTATAACTGCAGGAAAGTTTGTTTCCCAGAGGAATTCCGGGTTAAATTAATTAATTTGTTTATGCTCCTTTACGCTACTATAGTCCAAAATGCAATGCCGACATAGAGCTCCAGATTTTTCTGTATTATTTTTTTTACGGGCGAATAGATAAACATCGTCTTTTACTGTTTATTTACTGTACAAATTTTGAGTTGGTAGAAAACAAAATGCCCACCCATATTTAGTATTTGAAATTCCAAACCATGGATATTTTGCAAAAAAAATCACTTTTCTTATGGTAGCCATTTTTTAACATATGTTGTAAACATTATTCTGAATAGGTAAAAGGTGAGGCTATTTCCAGAAATTTGTTACAATTCATAGAAATTCATCGTTGTATTTGTTAGATTTTACCGTTGAATTTAATAAATGCAATGATTTTACTATATTGCTTTCGTTTTCTTTACAGTGATGTATCACCTACAACCCCCGTGAACTCCGGCTCACCAGTGCGGTGTTCCCAAGCACGGCAGAACATGGAAAGTCCGAAGAAGTCACCTCAAGGTAGTCCCGCATCTGCAGATAAGGCTACGTTAAAGGTAAGATTCGTCGTTGTTTTTAAACTGTCAGGGAATTGGATAGGAATTTGTAATAAATTATATTGTTGCATGTGTGTTAGAATTAAGGCCACTGAACGTGCTAGAATAATAATTCAATTGGGCTTACGTAATTTTAAGCGGTATTCATTGTTTGATTCAGAATATTGCGAGCGATTATTGTCAAGAACATAGCTATGTGCAGTGACAGGTCTTATTTTGGATGACCATGATGCATGACTTCGAATCCTATATCGATGCAATATATTTTTTTAATATAAAATACCTACTTTAAGTAAATGTACTGGCCTAGTACGAATGGGAATGAGAATGAAAATTGAGGAATCCAGATAAAGATAAATTAATAATTGGGTAATTTACCCTCAAACGAAAAAGCGTGACGAGGAAAGTTTCAAAGGGAAAAAGGAGCTTAATAATAATAAGAAAAAAAATCGAGTTTGAAATTCCAAAGAAGTGGGCTATGAGCGAATTAGATATTTTTACATTCCCAAATTCAGTTAAATTAACTTTTATGTAAAAAAAACTTTACTGCGGCATATCTGCTTTTAAGAATAATAAGTATTGCGTGGTATTAATCAAGTACGCGCTATCGTGATTTCCGTAAGAAAACACCATAAGAATCCATAAGTATTTGGAGAAGAAACCTCATGACAATTTCACATTCAGTTTCCGAACTTTAAGAATGGATTGTTTTAAATGGGCCACCCTGTATTATATTGTCTGCATTTCAGGGATTCTATCGTACTAACCAAAAAATTAACAGACAAGCGACGACACGATATTTCAATGGTAATATTTTCAACTGCGTACATACGTCATTTTCCCAACTTCTCCATCAAGTTGGTAATTAATTTTTATTCGGTTAGTAGATACACAGGCTATTGCGTAGGTGGTTCTGGTCAAAACTCAAGCGTTTCCGAGTTGTAATGGTTGTCTTCAGGGTCGAAGGCATTTATGTAACTCGTTGGTGGGGTTTATGTCGTGGCTAATGTGACATATAAAGGGTTTACCATACCACTGCCGTAGCCAATGGTCATTTACCAAATTTTCTGGGCCATCTCATCAAAATAACTCGCGCAGCGATCGCCCCACTTCCTCCAAATTGGGAATCCCCAAACTTACCTTTGTCTTATTTCTTATGCACGCCATATTGGATTTTTACGGAATGTTATAGAAGACAAAAAAGAAATATAATGACATGTCACACTATACTGTTACATAAATTAACAAGAAAATTTTCAAAATCAAATGTTTTACACTCATTCCTCAACAAACATCAACGGACATTTTTGTCCTCTATCTCATTCCGTAAAAATCCATTTTGGCGTCCATAAAAAATAAGAAAGTACATAGTAGCCTGTAGCTTCTACATCTAGCGTGTTATGAAAACGTGCCCATAGAATGTGCTAACGGGAACCGTCCATTTCCCTCTGTTTAAGCTAGAGAAAATAAAAACCAAATTAGACAATTTCAGTTTCAAATATTTTTCAAAAATTTAAAATGCGTTTTTTTTACTCATAAAAAGTGGCAGCCTTCCCCCACTGGTGAGCCACGAATTTGAATCACCCTGTACAGGTGTAAACATTTAGTACATAAAAAGTAATTGGGTGGTAGAAGAGAAAAAACCAACATTTTTGTTAAATAAACTGAAGATCCAAATTCCTTCATGGTCCCAAAATTTACGTTTCTCTATTATTTTTTCTCAGAAACTATAACCACATATTTAAAAGAATAGAATTAGCGAATTGGGCTAGGAATTTTCGTGTGCATTTTTTGATGTTGCAAAAAAATTCGTACCTTTACTTGGCGCACCCCTGAACGGGGGACGTAGAAACAATTCATGACTCAAAATGTGGTATCAGGGGATGTATAATAAGAAAATAACGAAACGAAATGTAGATCTTAACACATGAAAAATGCCTTCAGTCTACATTCAGTTTACGCATGCGCAATAACTTTTTGGCTACACGAGCATTAGTTCGAATATTCTTAGTTGAATTTGACGATCAAATGTAATTAACTTCTTTTAAAGTCGTACAAAAATAGTTTAGAAATATGGCGACGGTAAATGTGTACAATTTTGCTATGGGACTTTTTTTGGTATCTTTTATGGTAAAGGAATTATGATCCGAGGGATCTTAGGGGCTACACCCTGTATACAGAGTCGCTGATAAATCAGGAAACGGTATATTATCGGGGAAAATATACAAAGTATAAAAAAAGTTTTATACCAAAGGTTTAAGGTTCTTCAATGTCTAGTAGGCTGTACTAAAAATAAAAAGGGTTGATCATAATATAATGTCCATTAACCTAGCAGAGCAAGGTCCGCAGAACACAATCAAACATATTGCATAATTAGGTGCTAATTAAGTGCCCTATTCCCGAATTAAATGCTCCTTTTTTTTTAAATTATTACATGTTTTGCCGGTTCATATGAACTCAGCAGAGCACTACCTTAAAAACCCAAGAAAATGAAAAGTTAACTAACTATAATTAGGTGCTAAGTAAGTGCCCTATTCCTCCTTTTTTTAAAATTATGAACCTGGCAGAACATGTAATAATTTTAAAAAAAGGAGCATTTAATTCGGGGATAAGGCACTTAATTAACACCTAATTATGCAATATGTTTGGTTGTGTTCTGCTGACCTTGCTCTGCTAGGTTCATGGACATTGTGGCACACCAATATTGCATTTTTTAAATGAAACACCCTGTATATTATTCGATAATTCAATTCTTCTCTTAATTTTCAGCAAAATTTGTAATATGAATAATGTACGAAAATGTAATCGTTTCCGAGTTATCGAGTTTTGAAAATAAAAGGTATTGCTTTAAAATGTATTGAATAAAGAACAATAATGAATGACGTCACGAATTTCTTTTGAAAACATTCTGTGGTTCGTTTGTGAAGTGTGTTATGATTGTTTGCAATCATTAATTTCTGTTTTTTGTTCAATTATTAATGAATCTTAAAATAAGTTTATTTTCAAAACTCGAAAACCTGGAAAAAATTGAATTTTGGTACATTGTTCATATTACAAATTTTGCTTAAAGTTGAGAGAAGAATTGAAATATCGAATAATATACAGGGTGTTTCTTTTAAAAAATGAAATTTTGGTGTGCCGCGCCTTTATGAGTAACCCTGTATAATTAAAATAATTACTGCCTAGTAGCCATTGCAGAACCCCAAAACTTTTGTATAAAGCGTATTCGATATCTAGTATATTTTCCCTGATAATCAACCGTTTCCAGACTTATCACTGACCCTTTACAATAATTGTTACCAATCTAATAGCCAAGGTAAACACGAGGGTAAACACCGTAACACTGGTTCCTCAATTTTTTTATTAATTATTCAAAAGGTACGATTTTTTTAGTGTTTATATATTTGAATAAATGAATCTTGAATTTACTGTTTAAAAAAGAGACTCAGAAGATGTTTCAATTTGCAGGTACACCTCCCAAATGGTGGCTTTAACTTAGTCAAATATGGAGATGCTATCGATGTAAAAGGAATAATCTCATTAGTTACGGAGCGGTTGTCTACTGGAGAGAGATACTACAAAAACATGTACGCAATGAGGCTATACCATATAACAACTAGAGAAGTGAGTTTTTGTATGTTGAGCATGTTTACTCATGATTTTGTTTGTAGATTCATTGGTTACATCAAGACACTACCATGTATCAAGTACAAGAAAAGTATTTTAAAAAATATCCCGCAAGTGAATGGAGGTATGAGTTGCGAATTCGTTACCTTCCCAACGATCTTGGGGATGTATATGATAAGGATAAGGTTACTTTTTTCTTTTATTACGATCAGGTTGGTTAGTGATCTTTTCTTCATCTTTTATCTGCAACATTTATAGGTGAGAAACGATTACCTCAATTCCAATCATATCAACGTGGATCAAGAAGCAGCTGTTCAATTGTGTTGTTTAGAAATAAGATATTTTTTTAAAGACATGCCTCACGTTGCGTTAGATAAAAAATCAAATTTTGAATATTTGGAACGCGAAGTGGGGATGCATAAATTTTTACCGAAAACAGTTTTAGAAACAATGAAACCAAAAACATTACGCAAAAGTATTCAGACACTGTTTAAGAAATTTAGTCAACTGAGTGAAGTGGAGTGTATGTTTAAGTTTTTCGATATTTTAAAAATGTATTACAACTTCGATCAGGAGAGATTTCGCGTAGATTTAGGCAGCAGCTGGGCTGTGTCGGTTGAATTAGTTATTGGACCAGACCTAGGCATTTCGCATACAGCCGTCCAAGGTTCGAAGACCTCAAAGATTGCAGACTTTGAACAAATTCAAGCCATAAATATGCTAGTCAGTGATTGTGATGAACATAATAAAGCGACGCTACAACTTCGAGTGGCAGGTGCACAAGAGATATTATTTATTATTTGTCCAAATTTTGATATTGCTGAAAGCTTAGCGGATTTAATAGATGGTTACTGTAGGCTACATTCGAAAAGGCAGAATTCCATTTGGAATAGGAAAGGTTAGTACACTTTTATTTACTGTTTAGTAGTTCTGTTATAATGTAATTTTTTTTTGTAATCTTGTAAAATTCCTTAACTGAATGCGATTGTCTAAAAAAATTACTGTGTAAGGTTTAGTGTGGAGTATTGATAGATGCTTATTGTAATTTTGTTTTCAAGCTACTGTTTGGAAACAATTTCCATGCCCATGTAAAGGTTGGTATAAACATTGTACTGCTTAAAATTCTTTCTATCATATTGCACTGAATGTGAATCATAGATAGCATGCGCTATAATTAATTCATTCTTTTATGTAATCTCGGTAAGTTATTGCTATAAGGCAATTTCTGCAGTTATGCACTATCAAAATGAAACTTTTGTTTATTTGAAGAACTTTAATTGGTAACAGATAACATACAATGCTGATAACTTCCACTTGCTATATTTAAACAAGTTGTAAATCAGCATATGCATGATTAAAGCGCATTTTTGGTAATACAGGTCAGTATTTTGTTAGCGAAGTTTAAAATTATCGATCTCACGAGTAATTTTGGCTGCGCGTTAAATAACTAATTTTATTTAATTTCAATTGAGGGTACGTCTTTATTTTGTAAAACAAATCACAAGGTAAATAACTAAGTTTTTATACTGATAGCGCTATCTAACAGTAAAATTATAGCACCTCCGAAAACCATATCGAATTTATGTTCTTAAATTATCGATCTCACAAGTAATCTAACTCAAAATAGACTAGAGCCTGCACATCTACACTATAGCAAAAAGCTTTTAGTGAAAGTTTGAAGTCTCTAACTATTGTAGTTGCTGAGATCTCACCCGGACAGCCGACCAGCCAGCCATAACGAATATAATAGCGTATTTTTTTCAAAAATGCGCTAAAAATACTATTGTGATCATTTTGCTTTTTATGTTTACAGCATTTTCAAGTAAAGGCTTAAATATTTATAACAAAAGTTTACATTTTTTAAAATTGATTTTGGTGCAAAAAATTGTTAAATAAAAAGATTCTCCCTCATTTGCACAAAAATGTTACTGTAACTCATACTTCTAATTTTTGATTTACTTTTTTTTGTAGTAATTGCTCTTTTCTATAGATGCCCATCCAACAAAACTCAAGTCAGCAAAGAAAAACAACTTCGATAATAACCATGGCACAATGCTTTCGGAGGATTATGCAGAAATTGTTGACGAAGAAGGTGATTATTCTACTCCTACAAGTAAGTATTAATGCTCATTATATGTCGATTGCATTTCTACTGCTATTTCAGCAAAAAATTACGAATTAATTAGGAAACAAATAGAGTTAGGCGATATATTAGGGGAAGGTCAGTTTGGCGATGTACATAAAGGTACTTACAAGGCGAAAGATGACGCTTTAGTTCCTGTGGCTGTGAAAACCTGTAAGGGTGATGCTGATTTACCTACTACGGAAAAATTCCTAGAAGAAGCATGTAAGTTACTGCAATGCGTAATTTCTTAGATGTGCACGTTTTGAATTGTAGATATTATGCAAAAGTTTGATCATCAACATATAATTAAATTAATTGGAATATGCTCAGACTCGCCCGTATGGATTGTGATGGAATTAGCAAAATTTGGAGAACTTCGAGCATATCTTCAGAATAACAAAAATCGACTAGATCTTGCTTCTCTTATACTATATGCATTCCAATTATCTACCGCTCTAAGTTATTTAGAATGTAAGAAATTTGTACATAGAGACATTGCAGCTAGAAACGTTTTGGTCAGTTCTCATAATTGTGTTAAGCTTGCCGATTTTGGGTTATCACGCTGGATGGGAGAGGATCAAAGCTATTACAAAGCATCTAAAGGCAAATTGCCCATTAAATGGATGAGTCCTGAAAGTATTAATTTTAGAAGATTTACTACCGCTAGTGACGTTTGGATGTTTGGTGTGTTTCTCATAGGTTTACATTTTCGAAATTGAAAAAGTGAAGTGTGTAATTTATAGGTGTCTGCATGTGGGAAATTCTTATGTTGGGCGTAAAACCATTCCAAGGGATCAAAAATAATGATGTGATAGGGAAAATTGAAAATGGCGAGCGTTTGGCGTTACCCGCCGGCTGTCCTCCAAGATTGTATTCCCTGATGTCGCAGTGTTGGTCCTACGAACCTAGCAAAAGGCCGAGCTTTAAAGAAATTAAGGAAATTCTCAAGTAAGTAACGTCAGTATGAAAGGTTCTTTGTACAGTTGCTGTGTTACAGTGAAATTCTTCTCGACGAGCGTTCTGCTGTACAAGAGACAATGAGGCGGGAAAATCGAAGAGTGGCAGCTATGTCATGGGGATCAAGCGACGATTTACCTCCCCCTCCAAAACCTGCAAGATTCCCATTGCAAGGTAAATTTGTTTCTTGATTTAATAAAAATTGCATTGGTGTACGTTGTGAGTGTCCTTTTTTTTAATGGAAAGCTATTACATTAATTTTTTCTTACAAGAAATTGCTAAAATAAACTATTAATAACAAATTTAATGGAAAATGTTGTTTAAATGTAACAATAATTTTTCAAACGTTATTTGAAGAGCAATGTCTGTGCACCATTTTTCTCACGATTACAATGATCAAATCTGAAACACAATTGCGCATCAGGTTACCCAGATCCAATAAAGTAACATTTTTTTAAATGCAACGCCCTGTATATCTTCACATATTTTGAAAAAAAGTAAAATTTTGAGTGAAAAACAAACCACCCATAAATTTAAATTAAAGTAATCACAGTCAATTTAGGTTTTTAAGTTTACAAGAACTGTATAAAACGCGCAGATGACTGTTACCTACTTTAAACAAGAAATAGGCGATAATATGTTGGAAAGTTTAAAATAATAAGAGTTTAGTTAGTAAAATGTGGTTCGCTTATCGGCTTAGCGTTTACATTAATACTGCATATGAGGTTATACATCTTTGCCATTCTGACAAATTGCATAACAACAGGTAAGGCATGTTTTGTCACTTGCTTGACGGTTTTAAGTGGATGTTGTCCCGCTGACAGAGTAATAATGTCTTTATTATAATAGGTGTAGTTCAGCTTAGGTCTGTTTCTTATAGAATTTAAGCCACTATTTGAACTTACCATATGCCGTAGTAAACAATTTACTAACCTCGAACCAGTGTAACTTTCTTTGAGACACTTCCAGGCATATTCATAAAGTGATAAAATTTAAAATAGGAGTCAATTATAAGAGGAGGAATTAATTAATCCTTTCAGCTTGCGTAATTAGCAAACTTAATTCCATTTTCAATTACAACTAATTGACAGCCGAACGCATAGTTTCGCGCAGCTTAATTTGCATTATGATAAAGCACATATACTGCATACACAAATCTGTAACTCGGGCATTGGCAACCTTTTTTTTTCAAAGGCGCCAAAATGAAATTGTTCATATGCGCCACGGGTCACAGTTGAAAATCCAAATAAAAAGTATGTTTAAAGGAATCAATAATTATCTATTTCTTTTTGGTCGTGACCTATCTTTTGCTTTCTTAAAAAAAATTTTAAAAAATAGTATATTGAAAGACAAGTGTTACAATGCGACCTATTGTAATACGACTATCTTGTGGCACGAGTGGCTTAGCGAAGCGGAGCCACAAGATAGGGGTATTACAATAAAGCATTGTAACACGTGTTTTTCATACTATTTTTTCTATTTCGGGGCTTTAATTTAATTAAAAAGTAATTATGAAAAACTACAGGAAACTTTAGAATTAATATGTCTTAAGTTGGCAACACCATTTAAGTTGACAAATTTTAAGTTGGCAGCGTAGATAAACACAACACTGACATTTGGAAACTTTAAATTCCATGAATGTGTAATTTTTTATTCGTAGATAAATTTCTTTATCGTGGATGTGTAAACTCTCGATTTGGAATGCATTAAGTTCTTCGTGTACCAAAAATCAAGGAAAACACATAAATTTTACGTAATTTGATTTCACATCTGATGATTTGACGTTGACGTCTTGGCGAACTGCCAACTTAGAGATGAAAAGTTACCAAAAACAATGTTACAATGGAACTCATTGAAACACTGTTTTTGCCGAAAACAGTTGCACAAAATTCTCATTGTAACACCGAAATAGAAAAAAACAATAAGTACTCCTGAAAATTGACACGATTTTGCAATACCAAATTTCCCAGACGTGGATAGTAAGTCCCCATATTCAGTTTGTATCCAAATTTTCATTTATGCTCTTAAGACTCGTTGCAATATATGAGTTTAAAATGTTGCTTAATCCCAAAATACCTGTTGTTTTATTACCCCACCCAGTATATATCGCGATGAAACTTCTGGAAAATACCTGGCACGTGTAGCGCAATCATATTAAATAATTAATTCGAAATTTTAATGTAACTTGGCGGGTCGTATTAGGTATTAACTCTGAATTATGTTAGCGGGCCGGACAAAACATATCGGCGCGCGGTGGGTTGCCCATACATGCTGTAACTCCTAACTTTAATTTGATAAAGTCTGCCCCTGACCAACGCCCCCACCTGTTGCATTTATTTATATCAGACCACCTGCAGATTTATATAGAATTATTGTAAACCTTTAATTTAATTAACGTTAATTAAAAAGAATTTGCCTTGTAGTGAATTATTCCTACATTGGATTTGCACTGAAGATAATTAACAAAATGATTCTAAACTGCACATTTTACATCTTTCCACTATTAACGGGTGTGCTTGACTACTCCCGAACGCTTTCTTTACAAGTTAAATATTCATTCCTTATGAACAACATAAACAATCAGACATGCTAGTGTAGCGAGAACTTTTACTTTCGCTGTCTAAAAAGTGAAACTGAGTTCCGCTTAAAAATAGCCCTACGTACAGGACTGAAAGTGACCGGTCCTTTTCACACCAATTATCCGACACGCACATGTGCTACCCATTATGAGTATGGGGTGCGCTGTGGGTATCAGGAACGTTACCCTCACGGCGACACGGATGTTTTAAATGGTGGTTCTTATTAGATCTAAGTCAGTTAGTTTTGTTCCTCGTTAGACGCTTGTTGTAAAATCATTTGCTAATAAAGGTTGTTAATTGTTTGAACCCGCAATACAAATAATTCCTGAAGTGCGCATATGCCCAGCACCTCCCTAGAAACGTAATTTTTTTCGCCTTTGTTGTTTTAGTCCCATAACCGAATTCTGTGTATGCCCCAAGTCAAAATTAGTATTTAACATTGTAAGCTAGGTAGCTACTGTTTTGTTAAAAAAAAACTGGTTTATTCGGAAACGGCATGTTACGCATATTAGTAATAACGAGGGTCTAACATAAACCGCGTCATAAGAAACGTTCGTCTAGGAAGTTGCAAAGCGCTTACGCATTCGTTATGTCTATTATAAAATTCCAGTTAAAGTTAAAGATTAATACTGGTTAATTATTAATTAACAAGTATCTATAAAGTGGATCACTCAGTACTTTTTCTCTGAAAATTTGAAGGATCAAGGGTCCATTCAAAAATTCATATGTCTTAAACCGTTCAAAGTCAGTGCTCTTGTTTATGAATAAACTCAATCTGAGTCACAAATGTAACAACTAACTGAACTCTATTTGTCTAAGCCGGCTTTATCCCACACATATTCCAACAAGTAGTACACCTTAATCGGTCTAATTTTGAGTATTTCAACAGATCTCAATTATTCTTCTAATAAATGCACTTCTAAACACACAATAACCATATACATGTAGGAGAAACACAGCTGAAATAGTAAGTAAGTTGTGAAATTCGATGCAACATGGCCGCCGATCTCAACAACCAATAAAAAATTAGACACTCTATTGTCGCCACTGTCTCTATAGTCACTGTATACCTCGCCATATACCTAAATATGTTACCTTAAAAATGCATAATGTTAACAATCTGTTGTTTGTGTATATATGTGATTGCGTTGAATTCAGAAGAAAAAAGTGCATTTAGAAAAAATGGTGTTTCTAGTTTTAAAAAATCAAGATGGCGCCACTTCCGATATTTACGGAAGCGGCGCTATCTCGAAGATATTTTATTTCAATTCAATTCAATGGTTGATTATGGCTGTGAATCAACTCAACGTTTGTATATCCTATAGGTTTTGTATTATCGATTGGTACAAAATTTCTTCAATAAACAATTGAGTTTAACATTTTAGTCATTTTTGAGTTTTTCATTAACCGCAGTCTGCTCAAGATTTTTTAAGGCGACAAATTTTATATCAAATATTTTTAATTGATTAAACAAAGATTAACCAGTTGTTGCTAATTTGGATCTTAGATGTTACAAGTCTGTTAAGACACACAAAATGGAAGTCAAGATTTTTTCTTTTTTAATATTACAAGTAAAAGTAAAGAACAAAAGCATTTTCTGTTTTGAAGACTACTTATCACAGCGTTCGTTCTTGAATGCTGAGAGTTCATATATTAACTCTTGTTTATCCCCTTGTTAAGTATAGCGAATATAAATAATTAGGTATAATTATTTGCTAAATTGATGTGCGATGTACATTGCAATTTTAACAAATAACGGATGCAGGGGAATGGATCCCCACATTGCTAGTTAACGGTGTAGTGATAAGTATAGTTTGTTTTGTTATAGAAAAATTTGCAGCTTATTCAATTTTCAGGGGTGGATTGTACATCTTTGGCTTCACTCAATAGTGCCAGCCCACCATCTGCTTTACCGCAAACCTATATCGTCGCACAAAATCCAGAAGTATTAGCCCATTTAATGAAGGAAAACGAGTCAAGAGGAATTTGCCCGTCGGCCTACACAACTCCAGCTTCGGTATTTAATACTATATCTGTAGAATTTGAAAATCCGGAAGGTGAACAACCTACCTTAAAAACGTGTCCTATGGCTGTACAAAAACTGCATAAGCTAGATCCCGCCGTCTCCGATGTAAAACAAACTTTTGATCAAAACCAAATTAAGCAAAAATCTTTGGAGCGCACTCCGAGAAGCAGTAACACAAACACGCCTCAAACGGGCTCATTAGAAAGAAATGTGCACATGGAACACAGTTCGCCAAAGATGAATTCGTTAGAAAAAAACACGCATATCATGAGTAGCTCTCGTGGTAGTCTCGATAAAGTAGGACCCTTTAGTCCAAAAACTGGATCGCTCGAACGTAAATCTCTTACTAATTCGCCAAAATTTGATTCCTTAGAAAGATCCATCTATATACCAAATCAGTCCGGCACATTTTCGCCTAAACTTGGTTCTTTGGAACGAAATTCTCATATATTGCATCCTTCAGTTTCCTATGACCTCGGAAATATCCCGGCGTACCATCCCCAACCGACAGTTTATCAGTTTTCTGTCAATCCATTAACAAAGGAGATGCAACAAAACGAAGAAAATATCTATGATTTTGGTGGTGCCGACGTTAAAAGTTGTGCTCATAAACAACCTTACTATTGTCATAAGTTACCGTCTGCGGCGAGTGATAAAGCACAAGAAATTAAAGTGCAGGTTCGATCTCAGGCATGGCTTGAATCGATTTCTAATTAACGTAGATAATTTGCACGACATTTAGTGTATAATTTTTCAGTTTTTTTTTTGTGGCCAATTATTTTTTTTACTTTAAAGGCATGAGGCACGTTTTATTTTGATATTTACAGCATGAGTCATCTAATTTGATTTATTTGCATCTCATTTGGTTTAGTTTTATAGTCATAGATATTTTAGTTGTGCTCGATTTTGTGTCTTAAAAATGTGTTTATTTAGCCAACATCATCCCAACATTCGATCTATGGGGATCAGTTACTGCAAAATTCGCTTGTCCAAAATGATTTGACGTCTGAGTATAATCGGCACATGTTGGAGCAAAAGTTAAAGCAGCAACAAATTGAATCTGAAGAGGACTCTAAATGGTTAATTGAATCTGAATCAAGTTTGGTAAGTAATCATTTGTTGTTTTTAAGAAAATGAAGTCGAACTTGAAATGTCGGCGGTCCGCAAGAAAAGTGACATAAGTCAAAAATAGTACATTTTCAAGAGAAGCAATTTAAGTTTTGTTAAAATAAAACCTTGACGCAACGGGAGAAGTAATTCAAATATGTCTTAGCTGTGGTATGCATAATTTTGCAAAGCCCTTACAGATGTCATTTTAAGAGAAGATTTGGTAAACTTTATTTAAACAATTTTTTTGTTAATACTTATGACATTTTTCTTGCAACATTTATGATTAAACTTCAAAATAATACACAAAATTAAGCGTTTTGATTTATTATAAAATGAAAAATATGTTGTACAGTAATACAAAAAAAATAAAAAGAAACTTCTAGAGATATTAAACCATTAGGTAAAGTGAGTTATAATAATGCAAATAGCATTTGGAAATAGTGTTTTTCTTAAATAGAGATAGTAACGCCTTCTTCTTTTTTTCCGTTATCCCTACTTTTTTCTGATACGCGTTTTTCAATACAATTTCCTTATTTTCTCTACTTTTTCTTCTGTTATTAACAAGATCCATGATCTTGAATTCAGTCTCCTTGTAATAAACTTTTCCGGGCTCATCTTTTTTAAGTTGAATAATTTTTACATTACCAATTTTAAATGCATGTCGTGAGTGTTCTTTGAAAAATTTGTAAAACTAAGGTCATTTGTTAATTCTTTAAGATGAAAAAAATCTTCATAGCATAATTCACAGACTCTATATGGTTTTCCAGATTTTTTTGCAGTTCTTATTAAGGCGATGTGTTGCTCAGGAACTAATATCGGGCCTGATTTAGGTGACCTTGTGATGTGACGTTCAATTGCTGAATGGGCACTGTCCCCTTCATTTTGGCTATGCCCAGTTATTTGTGAGTAATAGTGTTTATATTTTTAAATTGGGAAACTGCGTAAGAGTGCATGGTCAACACAAAACGATTCTTTTGCTGCCCAGCGCAATTATCGGAAAAGAAAACTACATCGATTGTTTTGTTTTCAGCCACAGCTTTTTCATTTTGGTCTTGCAAATATCGCAGTATGCAGGACCCAATTTCATTTACGCCCCTATTTGCCTGACCCTCATGTCAGACGTAGCACTGGCCGTTGGTTGTATTCAAATTGAATACATTCAATTTAGAAGAATAATAATACGTAGACACGTCTCCTCTGGGACAAGGCAAAATAGCTTGGAGATCGTACACAGCCACAATACATTCAGACGTTTTTTTGTCCTTGTCTTTTTCTAATCTTGACAATTCTTTTTCTTCATGGTGTTCGTCGAACTTAGTCTGAAGTTCCAACCTTTTCTTCATCATTAGCATTTTTGTAGGAATTACAAAGCTCGCACTGGTCTTTTTTTGGAGAGAAATATTAAAATTCATGATTAAATATTCTGGAAAACATTACATAGTTGGCAGTGGGAACACCTCTTTCTTTGCATTGGTCAATGTAGTCTCTATGTATTTGGGCAATAGACGTTCCACCATCAATGTATTCCTTTGTAGTTTGTGAGCGACAATAACTTCGACAATAACTTTCGATCCTAGGGATCATTTTTCTAAAGTTTTCTCACGCCATCCTGTGTGAATGCTTGTGGTGCTTTCCCCGTAAGTCTTCAGAAATCATTTGTTGAGACAAAAGACCTTTCTTCTCTATGACAGTACGTATTGGTCGGTCATTTATGGCTAAAGTTGCCTTAAAGAAGTACTTGCAAACTCTTATTCTTTTACCCATTATATCAAAATGAAACGCATTATTCTGGCGGCGATGGCTATCCTCTCTAACATACCGGTACTAAGGCGTCACAGGTGTCAGAGAATTCAACAGAAATTAGCGTTGTCTTTGTATGTTTCTCATATTCCAATAGTTCTGAAAAATGGTTTCTCTTTGATCTTGAGTAATTTTTTCAAAACACTTCATTCTGCATTTATCATTGCAAGGTGGGCGAACTTCGCGTGCTCTGAATTGCTTTCTACTTTTTGAACTCGACTGGTCACTTTCCAGAATTTCGTAGCTGCTTTGCCATATTTTTCCTCCAGTACTTATATACTACTTATCCTCTTTCTAACATTTTTTTTCCTTCGCTTGGAAAATTGACTTTTCTACGCTTAATTCCTTTTTCATTTTCCTTATCGGCATGCCGCCTTTTACCGCGTAGGTTTTTATTAACCGTAGTTTCGGAATCATTATCGCTAGAGGTTAAAGAATCGACTTCAAAACTTGGATCAGCATACAAGTCATCAGAATTTATTTCGTAATTAAAGTTACTGTGGCTGACTGTTTGTTGACGATGAACTGGATGATCGACTGCTACAGGAACAGTTACTGCTTGGTTTGCTGCATAGTGTTGGAGTTTCTGTAAGTTGATAGAGACACGAAATACATGTAAGGCAGACAAGATTTTATAATCTTTTTTAAAATGTTTTGTCTTGATAATTATCTACTTATTTTCCTCTGTTAATCTCAAACTTTTCCTTACAACTTTATTTTTGCAAACATAATTTGTGATTAACTTATTTAAATTACCTACCTTCATTAGACTTTGTATCCAGAACTTTTTCATTACTCTCCATGTTGAGCTTAATCGTATGTTCGCGTCCTATTTCCTCTATGTTATTTGCAGTTCTTTTCTCACAATAATCGTAATCAGGTTGAATATTAGAATCTTTCAATCCGCCACCTACCAAAATTAGAAATGTGTGCTGAACCCATTCCATTAAGTAACTAATATTCTTAAACCTGGTTCATAGCTATATTCGTCTATGTTGGTCTGTTGGACATCAACAAACAGTACATTTTATGATTTTGAAATTTACTGCCTTACTGCGTGTTGATTGGTTAACGGAGACAGATAGCTATGAATCACGTACGCTTTGGATGGTGGGAAGGTATGTATTTTACCTTTTGAACTACTTGCATGTGCAATGGCGCTCGGGTCATAGCCTTTATGTACATTAGTCTGTCATTGTTTCCCCTTCTATTTCTGAATGGTCAGGAATTGAACATTCTAATACTCCTGACATCTCTCGCGCTATTTGTAATATTAGCTTCGTCCTTTTCGACATCTGGAAAAAAAAAATCATAATAACTACTGAGCAATATGCAAAATAATACATAGAAGTAGACATAAACATTATCTTACCTGAACAGGAAAACCGTCACAACTTAAATAATGTCACTTTTCTTGAATTAAAACGTTTGAACTAGTGTCACTTCTCGAAATGTGTCACTTTTCTTGCAAGGAAATGTGTTTTCTACTACAAAGCAAACGCGCAACTGAAAATGAGATACCTTTGGCTGATCCATGTCATTATTGTTTGTATTAATGGAAATGCGACACTTGTGTCATCTAGCGGCTATAAGACGTCGTATAGTTAATACATTTTTCTTGATAAACATATGCATCTTTTTCAGTCGTTTTGTGCAAATAACTCAAAACGGCTGCTTTTTTGAGTTATGTCACTTTTCTTCCGGACCGACGATGTGTCTACAATAAAATAAAACCTGAAAGTTTGAATCCAATGAGATGCACATTTGAGTACCACGTGACACACGTCACACAACCCATAAGTATTTTAAAATGTGTATGTGCATGTTATGATGACACTATAGGAGTTGTGCGTCGTTTCACACTCATTTTTCATACGAATTCAATAGAATTGTAGCGACTAGTCTAGAAATCTAGAGAGACATTTGGACGCCATCCACTAGTCTCCATAAAATTTATAAAAGATTAGTCCTCTGTGATAACATTTCCTATAACAAACAAATTAGATTGTGTTTAAAGGCAGCTCCAATATCGCTGCGGAAGTGATTATTAATGAAGTTCGAGCTTGTATGTGAGAAATACCAATTAGCGGTTATCAATTAACGTATTTCAGGACGGTTATGAACTTAATATTTAATTAATTGTAAATAAATAAATCACATTATTAAATTTACGTTTCACAGTACAAAAAGGTGGGTTGTGTCACCTGTGGTTAATGGTTCTCAATGTGCGCCTCACCTTACTGTTTGTCAATGTACTGAATAGAACAAAATAAGTATGCAGGAAACCATACAATACATACAATGCAGCACTGTTCGTATGGTTTCCTAGATACTTATTCTGTTCCTCCGATTGCAGATGTAATACACCAATTTGGGTGTGTTATGACGTCATCACTTATGCCCCGTTTCACAAACATGATTAAGGTTAATTACTGATTAAAAATATTAGAATATTGATCATACGCTTAGATGTTTCCCATTTTATATAATATTTTTGATAATAATAATACCCCAAACGCAAGAATCTAAACAACTGCTTGTTTGAAATCATCAACATCGCTAACAGGTTTCATACATTACCTTGTTTTTTTACAGGTTTGCCCACTTTAGAAATTTGTATAATAGAAGGCACTGTTTGCAGGCTAATATTTAATGCACACAACTCTCTATGAAATAAAACTTGTTACATATGTATACAAATTATTTACTAAAATAACCATTCACCTTTCTTACTGCTGCGATGATAAAAGTGAACCACCATTATCTCGAGCTCGTTCAAAATGATGAATAAGTTGGTTACTTTTTCTTCGTAAACTTGATTGCACTCATCTGTGTTCTATCATAAATTATTTTATTTCCAAACTCCTGGATACTTGCTTGATCATTTAAGTTACCACACGGATGTGCATAATTTGTTTTTACGACATAGGGGTCTGTTAGACATTCCCATGCACAATACAAGTTATTTTGAAAAATCAGTTTTCGTATAATGTGGTAAAAATTTATAATGCTATTCCGCGGTCTCTCAAAATGCTCAGTCCATCATCATTCCAATCTAAAATGTGCCAGTTGCTAATATCAAATACATTGCCGTTATAGATTTTGTAGCATTTCTTCTTTTTTTTATTTTTTTTTAATTTAATGCGTGGTGAGTGTTCGTTCATTGGTGTTACTCATATATATGTGTTACTATTATATTATGCTTGACAGGGCTGCATGGAAGATCAGGGTATTGCTACACTGAATGCAGTCCTTTCCCACACTATTCTTATTTTTTTTCTTTATTTTATTTTTGTTTTCCTATTATTAGTTGTTTTTGTGGGAATAAACATTATTATTATTATGGTGAGTGTTTCTTGTAAGAACTCAGGTCTAGTCTGGTTAACTAATCACACGGATTAAAATCAAGTAACAATTAGTGTTTGTGTCTGTACGTCGCTCGTCTGGTGAAGTAATGTCGGGTCCTAAAAAAAAATTCACACACACACATTGGAAATCTAGGGATAGTATGCAATTCATACTTACCAACATAGCTATTGATGGGCACAATGGCCAACGCTATCAGGAAAGAGGAAAAAAAAATAATTATAATAATTCCTGCAAGTTTAGCAATATTATTAAATGGAGTTTATTGTGTAAGTGTACTTTCTTTGGCTTTGCGTTTGGGTTGAATACGAGTGGGTTGTGATAACGTGGTGTGTTTCTGTGAAGAAGGAGTTTTGTGTTTTTTAACTGTACTAGGACATGTAAATTTATTGTGTGAACCTGTTTTTGTAGTGCATGTTGCGTTACTTGTATTTATTACGTTTGTTTGTTCAGGATGTTGTGTTTGTGTGGTTGGTTGAGTTAAGGGTGGAGATATTACAGTATGTTGTGTGTCATTTTGTGAGTCAAAGGTGCTGTTTAGGTTTTTGCATTTGGGTTGAATAATCGTCGTGATAATGTGGTTTGCTTCAGAGGTGAATCTCTGATTGTAGTATATGTTGTATCATTTGTTGTACTTGTTTGTTCGATAAGTTGTATTTGTGTGTTTGTTTGGGTTAGAGGTGGAGATATTACAGTATGTTGTGTACCGTGTTGTGAGCGAGTACTGTTGTTTACATGTATACGTTGTGGATCATTTCTGTATGTAGTATCTTGTGTTATGTTTAGAAATTTACGAACAATATGACATGTGTTGATAATGACTGCTTTTTGTAAATGTTTGTATGTGTTTTTATCCAAACCTAATAGTTGTAAATTGTGGTGTATTGTCTTTGGTGTAACTCCGGTAGCACTAAGAATAATGGGAACTATAACAGTAGATTTCATTCTCCATTGCGTCTTAAGCTCGATAGCTATATCGGTGTATTTGCGGTGTTTTTCTGCATGTGTTTTAGTTAAGTTGTCAGTGTTGGGGATGGCAATGTCTATAATACAAATGGATTTTTGTGTTTTATCTATAAGTGTAATGTCTGGTCTATTATTGTGGATAGTTTTGTCTGTGAGTAGTGTCCTGTCCCAATATAATTTGTGTGTGTTGTTTTCAAGTATTATCTGTGGCGTGTATTTGTAGTATGGTATTAGATTATGTTTAAGAGCTAATTATTATTATTATTATAGCATTTTTGGGTTATACAACTTTTGGTGCAGAATATTGCAGTGAGACTTACGGAAGTTATAATTCTAAAATTGTTCATTATGAAACTAATGGATTTTGTATCAGCTAATGTAGCAAAACGTGATAAAATAATGAAAACGGTAGCAAACTAAGGAAAATCCTGAACTACTGGCACTGAATTATTTCCAACCTAGGTCATAATTTTCCTAACCTAATAAGTAATAATTATAGGCATTCTGTAAAAATTGTTTGGTAGATGTTTTTCTTTGAAAGGAATTTAATAATGAAACAACACTACATTAATATTGTTTTTACAGAAAAAACGATTGAGCATAATGAGTTCGTCAGATGGAGACACACTTCGTGACTGCTCACAGTCCATTACATCTCTTCCATCAAGTCCATTGTCTTCTTCTTACTCCACCTCTACCCATTACCAGTTGTCATCTAGTATTGCAAGTATGTCAGTGAGCGGAAATGGGTTGCAAAGCGGACCGGAATCGCAATGCAGTAGCAAAAGTCATTCCCCGGCAGGATCAGTTACTAGCACTTTGACTCTGGCTGAAAGAACAGATAGTACGGGTACACCAAGCAAAGGTTTTGAATCTGTGGAATCCGAAATAGACATGAAAGGAAAGGTGCTTATTGAAATATACTGACATCTCGTAATAAGTTATTTGATTCTGTTTGTTGCAGAAAATGGAACCAACACCAACAGCCGATTTAGACCGAAGTAATGATAAAGTGTATGATTGCACTACACAAGTTGTAAGAGCAGTAATGACACTGTCACAAGGTGTGCAACAATCTCACGCCGAACAATATTTAGAATTGGTTAGGAATGTTGGCTTGGAATTACGGTCACTTCTTGCCAGTGTTGACGCGATCATGCCTATGTTTCCCTCTTCGGCACATCGAGAAGTCGAGATGGCACATAAAGTTCTGTCAAAAGATATGACGGAACTTGTAACATCCATGAAACTGGCACAACAGTATAGCAATACAACATTAGATACAGAGTACAGAAAGTAAGATAAGTTTACTGTAAATTAAATTTTTGTAATAACTTCTTTGCAGAGGAATGCTGGGAGCAGCTCACGTATTAGCTATGGATTCAAAGAATTTATTAGACGTCATTGATGCTATTCGTATTCGTTTTCCTCAAGTGGATCACGATTTTTGTGGTCAGTCTAATGAAGCGGTATCCAATAACGATATAGTTTATTCGTCAAACTTAAGCTTATTACCCCCTCCAGCACCTTGCACTTTCGTACAAAGTCCCACATACACTCAAAAAGTGCATGCTAGTTCTAGTACAAGTGGATCAAATGTTACCACTAGTCAAAATGCAGATAGTTAGTTTAATTATTTATAATATTTAGTGCAAATATCAAAATTTTGTACAATAGCTTGAAAAGTTACAAAGATGTGATGAAAATGATTGCAGCTGGAGATTGAAATCGTAGCAAAAGAAGTGGTCATCAGTATTTTATTATGAATTTAAAAGTTGTTTTTTAACATGTAAGGTTAAGTATAGCGATATCGATATTATACAATTTGATTACTTTTACAACTTTGATAATGTGTAAATAGTATTGAACCAAAGGTTAAAGCCACACATTTTATTTTAAAGACTGTTTTTATAGTTTTTATTGTCTTGTCTAAATATGAGCGTGTATAAACCGTTAATGAAAAGGTTTTTGAGTGTTGAAACAAAGTATTGTGTAGTTGGTCTCCAAATAACCATATCTGTATATTTTCGTTCTCCATACAAAATATCATGGCAGCCAGTTTTATTTAAGTTTTGTTATATGTTATAAGTATGTACATGACTGTACTGTGTGCATTTACTCTTTTATGCTTTTTATGAATAAAACAGTTTCCAATATACAGTATTGTGTTTTAAATGTTGATTTGTGCAAGGAACAAATATTTCGTAATCAAATTGCCTAATCTGAGAATCATTCAAATAATCAGGTAATCAATTGATTTCAAAAACAAAACGAGACCTGTTTTTTTCTGTAGATTTTGTATAGGATAAGGTTGCTACTGCCATTTTGCTTGTTATGGAAGCAGCAAGTTAGGTAAAATTGGTAAACTGTAACCGATCGCTGGAGTTGGTTTAAATTTTCCATATGTATATTGGGGCATACGGAAACGAAAAATAACGGAAGGGATTTTTTTTTTAATTTCGGAGCGCCACAACGGAATTCAACTTTTTTTTCAAATTAGCAACACAAAATTTTGATTAATTACCTATATTATATCTTTACCTGTGACATTAAAATAAAATCTAAAATCAATAGACAAACATGAGCAAAAATTAAAAAAACAAAAGAGGCAAGGGGCACGCGGTTTCCCCAAGCAGTCACCCATGCAAGTTCTGATCATGCCCAACGCGCCGCGCGTAAGTGCGCATTAGCCTTAAAGGGTACCATGTTTTAATGAGAGTGCGCACACTTGTCGGAAGAGCAGCGCAACGAAGCGGCCTTTTCCTGTTTCTTCGCATAAAGCGGAAATTATAAATGCATCTTCCTCATCAGAGGACACAATTGGTAAATGAAGATTAGGATAACAGATGACAAGTGTCAGTGACTTTATAGTTTATACTAAAGGTACGGTCTATCTATAGCGATTAGTCGAAACGATTAGACGACGTGTTTAAAGGCGTCGCTGTCGTGTGGTCTATCTTGGTTCAATTAGACACTGTGTGCATGGATAAGTCACGAACGATTTCGAATTTTCCAATTCTGTTTGCGGTATTATGTTTATCATCACCCGAGGAACAACTGATTAAATTTTTAGTGACCAAAAAATCGCAGCGACTATAAAAACGCTTGCGATTATTTTGCCCTGAAGTTTCGACTAGAGTGTCTAGTTTAGTCTAAAAATAAAATAAACAAAAGCAAAACAAAATAAAAAAAAATAAATAGCTAAAAAAAATAGAACAAAAATTAAATAAAAATAGAACAAAAATATAAATATAATGAAAATAAAATTTAAAAAAATAAAAATGAAATAAAATAAAATAAAAAGAAAATTAAAAATAAAAATACAAATAGAATAAAAATAAAAATACAATAAAAACAAAAATATATCAAAAATAAAAAGAATAAAATAAAATTTAAAAAAATAAAAATGAAATAAAATAAAAATACAAAAATAA